TTTAGGGAAATATAAATACAGGAGACTCACAACATGAGAGATGATCAGCAACTTAATTTTTTAGCATTCCCCTCCTAACATTTCAACACTAATGATTTTGGTAAAAATCTAAATTTAATGCTCCTCAGTGATAACAAGTGCACATGTTGCTCCACCAAAGTTGAGAAAATCCGAGATGCTGAGAGAAAAATGTGGAGATGGGCTGAAATGTGGGGAGGAAGACTTCTAGGAGCATTCTGATCATGGAGCATAGTGTGGTGCAAAGCAAAGTAGGCTTGTTTCAGAAGTTAAGATGAGGTTTGATGAGACAGTTTTGCACAGTGGTTAAAGGATAATGTGGTATTTCTGGCAAGAGATCAATCTTTTACTACATTAGGATTCAGAGGAAAGTTTGCAGGTCCCCAAACACAGCTTTCGAGTAACTTTTTAGAAAGTTAGGGATCATTAAAGGGGAAAGACACCATTCAAGTCATTTATTTTTTGTTAAATGTAACAGGCAACAAGGAATCTGAAAGGTTTGGAGGGAGGAAAAGGAGAAAGAGAAGAAAACTATCATTCCTTCAGGATTTTGTCACTGTGATTGTCATTTTGGAAGCATTTTTGCAAGTCAAATAAGCCAAGGAGCATTTTTGACACAGTTGTCTATGACTTTAAATAGAGCTTGAATGTCCTCTATTATAGAATAATGAAGAATACTGATGAAACACTGAGGTAGTTATGCTCAGTTTTATTTGGGATCTTGTTTAAAGGAATCACAAGTCATTTCAGATAGGAAGTGAAATCCATCTACATGAAGATTTAAAATTTATCTATTATACATATTTATTTTTAAATAAATAAAAATATGAGTACATGTACTTTTCACTTTTTTGAGTGATTTTTGTATTGCCATTTGAGATGGACTTCTTACACTGCAAGACAATTGTATTGAAACTAAAGATTCCACAAATTGGATGTTAATTCTAATTCTGCTCTATGGAAGTATTGTGTTTCGTTTTAATTTTTCTGTTCATTTTTGGCGACTAGGGGAAAGGGGACCGGAAAAGTTAAGACTGACATTACGTAGGGCTTGATCATAAAAAACTTCCTGCTAAGGCACTCAGAATTTATTTGACTGCAATAGGAACCACTCAGAGTTTTAATTAGAGAGGTGGCATAAAGAATGCTCATGATGCCAAGATTTGCTGTGATCATGACTTTTACACTAAATTTGATACAAAGAAAGAATTAGAAAGAGAGAGGATAATTTAGGAGACTTTTGCAGTAATTCAAGAAAGCGTAAATGGTGATATGGTGGAGGTGGAAGGTAATAGATGAATTAATAACATGTGACAGACAAAGCAGTCATACAACATTGTGTTTACTTGCATGAATTCCAATAAGCATATTGTCTTAGACAGTTTTCTACAGCAAAATACCAGATGCTGGGTGAATTAGAAAAAAAGGCGTTTATTTAGCTGATAGTTCTGGAGGCCCAAGATCATGGCGCTGGTGTCTGCTCAACTTCTGGTGAGGACATGTGCTTCCCACTTCCTGGCAGACAAGTGGAAATGGAAATGATTGTATACAAAAGCTGCCAGACATGTGGGCGCCTTCCTCTGTTAGTAACCACACTTGCAGCCACTGATCCAGACCTAAAAGAATGATAGCTCATGAGAAAAAAATTTCTCTTAGTGACTTAGTTGCATTTGAGGGTCTCAGTGTTGTACTTAGCACTGCCACACTGGGGACAGAGCCTCAGCATGAGTCTTGATGGTGACAGACTCTATTAAAGCTATAAATGGGCCGAGAGATTATATCTCAGAATTTTTTCTTTGAAGCAGAGAACAGAAGAAAGAGGAGCAGGCAGCAGACACATGTGAGGGAGCAAGATGACAGATTGAGGTTTTGTCACTCTTGAGAAACCTGCGGAGTATCGTATGAACAGGTGCACTAGATAGTGTAGATCTTGGCAAGAGCTCCAAGAATTCATTGCAATTTGAGGAACAGATTTTGGAAATGTGTGTAAAATGATACTTTAAGCCATACAGTATACCTGATCATCCATTGAGAGTACTTTGATGAGAAGAGTCTAGACCTGTGGGCAGAACTCTGGAGAATCCTGATCTAAGAAACCTACAGGGGGTGAAGACCCCGTGAGAGAGGAGGAGTCTTCAGAGGAAAATGGCGCAGCTGTAATGTGCTTTCAGAAGAACCAAGATAGGAGGTTGTAATGGAAGGAGGGAAGCAGCTGAACGCTCTGTCACTAGATTTCAAATAATGAGGACTAGAAAAAAAATAAGGAGTTAGCAACACGGAAGTCAGTGGGGTTAATAGTATCTACAGTTTTCTGGAAGTAGAAATTAAGGATGAGTGTAAATCATTTTTCTTTCTATATGTGTTATAGAAATTTTAATAAAAGATAGTATCAAGTTTGAAGGTATAGGCAGCTACTTTGAAGGCAATAAGATTCACTATGATGCCCATTCTGGTTTGACTATTATCTTCTTTGGAAGTCCTGTAGTGTTTACAAGGTTTAGGTTTTATTGGTCTTGTTCTCTACTGTTTTGTTTAACTTTATAATACCTAATGAGATAGACAATTCTTTTTAATGAAGCAAGAGGCATTATGGTAACCATTGTTGATAACCGTGTACTCTGTTTTTACATCATGTGCTATGTCTATCCTTAGTTTTGACTGACAGCTTTGTTTTGCCATATTTGACTTTATTCTCTTCCAAAAAAAAAGTAATAAGAACTAAGGAGTAATAAAACCCAAAATGTATAAATTTTGTTGTAAAAGAGAGAGGAAAAAAAAAGTGCTCTAAAGGATACAACTGCAAGTGTGTTTAGGGGTGTTAAGTAGATGACCATACTAATATTTTTGGTTGGATCATTGAACACAACTGTTTGCAGTCTCACTGTTTGAATGTCCACTTTGTATGCTTTGATACTATGACTTGAGCAACTATGTCTAAGATGATAATGTGTAATCTATTAACTGGTGATTTCTTTCTGTTTTTTTTTTTTTTTGTAGTTCTGTATTACTTGTACCCTTATACCGTTTTGTTTTGTGTTTTCTCTTTTTCTTTTTAAATAAATTTTTTTAAAAAAGCAACATAAAATTAACTAATTTAAAGTGAGCAGTTCAGTGGCCCTTCAGTATATTCACAGTGTTGTATAACCATCTCTTTTCTTTAGTTCCAAAATGTTTTCATCATATGCAAAGGTAGCCATAAGCAGTTGTTTCCCATCCAACACTCCCAGGGCCAAACTTTGTTCCACGTTCATGAATTTTGTATGCTACATATTTGAAACAAATGGAATTATATGAAACGATCTTTTGTGTATGATTTGTTTCATTTAACATAATGTTTTTAAGTTTCATTCATGGGATATATATTAATGCTTCATTTTTTATATCACAGATAATCTTCCATTGTACAGATAGATGACAATTTGTTTTTTCTTCATCCATTGATGGGCTTTTGGATTTTTCAATCTTCTGGTTATTGTAAATAGTACTTTTGTGACCATTTATGTACATGCATTTATTTAATTACTGTATTTATTTTTTGAAACTTCTGAATATATATCTAGAAATGGAATTGGTGATACCTAACAGTTTTTTTAAAAATATGCTTTTATCTGACACTGAGAACTCACAGGAAGTACTGTGCATCACATAAAAAGTTTACTCATACATTTTATGTCTTCAAATAGTCTGTATTCTCTTTTTAGGCATAACTGGCGAAAATGTCATGTGGTAGGCAGCCTATCAATAGATAAATTTCATATATATATGACTATATGTGAATATATATATATATATATAATTGAACATTTATTTAAATGTGGACAAATGTATATTCACTCAGTGATATATATATATATATATATATATATATATATGTTGTTTTAAGAGAGAAGTGTAGATCAAAATGAAGTTTTGAATTTTATAAGAGGGACACAATGAAGGTAAAGAACTGAATGACTTAATCATGTGGGAGACAGAGGGTGGAACATGGTTGAACATCTCACAGTTTGATTCTTTTGAAGACTGCAATAAGTGCCTCTCGTTGGCAATAAGAAAAAGAGGAAGAATGATGAATCAAACCAAGAGCCCCTATGGCACTATGCATGGCTAACTGACACTAAAAATTAAGAATGTATTTTCAAAAACAATTTTAATTCATCTACCAAAACTATTGACTCATTTATATTTAATCTTTGGAGTTGTTTCTCCATTCATCCACTTATGACAAACATTGTAGCTTAAACTTCATTCATAAAACATATCTTAAAAAATTCACAGAGAAGTGGGACAGTGATTACATTTCCCGTGAAGGTTTTGATGATTTAAAGCAACATGTTTGTTGGTATTGTGTCATTTTCTCCTGAAATCTTTGCTTCACAGGCATTGATTTTGGAACTAAAATTCTTTAGTGGCTCATGGATTTGTGATTGAATCCCCCAGACACTGTCTGAAGTCTTGGGAGAGGAAAGAATTTTGTTGATTGTCTCTTATTCGTCTAGACTCTAATTTAAGTAATAACAATTAGCAAGAAGTAAGTCTATGATAGGAATATAAATTTGCTAGCTCCAGAGTTAGGGCTCTGTCCACCATAAATCAGGGTGCAATGAGGTTTCATCTAACGTGTTTGTAGTAGTAGGATGAGAGCGGTACTGACGATAGCTAAGAGCTCAACAGGAAGGGGAAGTGGGTCTCAGATAGGTCCTTGCAGACAGGAAGAGGTCAGGAGCCTTGTACCTAAAAGATGTTGACCACCCCTAAACTGCCATGCCATTTTTCATGAAAAGGTTCTGTGTAGCTTATCAGGAGAATGTTAATTTCTAACATTAATTTTGTTTATGGAGTAAGTCCATGTTTAGTGCTAATTCAAGGAAGTGTCTATTGATTCCACCTCATTTTATTGACATCATCTCTATTGCATTTACATAATTTCAATAGTCCCTAGGATTGATGCATTTATTCCTATTTGTGGTGTGTGTTTATTTCAGGCAGAGAAAGCAGATGGATTTGTCAACCTTTCTGATTTCACTGTGGAAAAAGCATCAGAATGCAAGAAAAAGAAGTAAGTCATTTCTTAACCTTCACAAAACAGAGACAGGATAATGTCCCTACATAATCATCAAGTGATACGGTGATGCAAGGCTCATCTGATATTTCATTTGATGAAGCAGATGAGATTAAAGCCTCCTTGAAGACTTGTAATAGGATGCTATTAATTGTGCCAGTGATGGAGGGAAAAACCCATTCCTATCCAGGATTGGCAGGATGGTCAGATAGATGTCAAAGTTTGGCCGTTGTAAAGAGAACCGATAGTTAATTAGGGCTTAACAGAATTGTAGACATAATAGTACAACCCATTTCCCTTGCACAATTGCATTGTCAGAGGCATCTATGAGGTTAAATTCTCTGAGATGTTTTAAGCTCGGGATTGTACACTGGTACAGTGTAAGCCCAAAAGATTTTGGAGCAAAGCACTCTGCACTCACGATCTATGTTTTAGAGAGAAGGAAGTACAACAGTCTGTGGAGTCTGTTGCCAGCTCAGAGCTCAGGGGAGTTCAGGTTCTCCAGACTCTGTCAGGGACCCTTCCCATGACAGCTTTCTGCTGTTATTTTGCATTTATATTATGTTTGACCTTTAAAAAACTCTTCTACTTTCGATATCTTTTCCATTGTATTGAAAAGAGGCATTTTTCTACTGACTTATGTTTTAGTTGCAGCAAGTGATTATTTTCTTATAAGACGAATAGACTGATGTTTGCTTTAGTTCTTTGCCACTTTGATTTAGCAGCATGCATCTCACATTACATGGGTTGATTCTTGTGGTTTTGATTAGTTATATAAAAAAAAATTGTCCTGTCCTGTGGTACTTCCCGTCTAAGTGGTAAAGTAGAAGTGTTTTATTATTTGGTATTGTCAAAGTCTTAAATTTTTCCTTCAAACTAAAAGCAAATTTTATTTTGCCTTTATTGATAAAGAGTGCCTGCACAAGGTTTCTGATGAATTTGTACAATGTGGAAATCCATATCTAATTATTTTAATGAATAAAATTCTGGTATACATTTCATTTAATTTGAACGAAAGCTTCATTATGAATATTTTGAAGTAACATCTCTTTAACTGTCAAATTTAGTTCATTATATTTGTAGAGAAAAGCTGCTAGCAGATGAAAAGAAAGATATGCCTATATATTTTAAGTAGAAACCATTGAATAAGTCTCAGATTTAATATGATAAATTGACTTTCAGAATACTATATGATATAGGGATACACAATATGTATTTCATGCAGCAGTTTTTTGTAGTTTTATAAAGAAAATACTTTTATGGTGCTTATGTTTGACTGATTTCTTTTCAAACACCTGGATGTTTACAAACACTAATTCTTTTGTGCTTATGTTTCTTCTCACAAAGCGCGTTGAAGATCAACCATCCGCAGATCAAGACCTTTTATTTTGCAGCTGAGAATTTGCAGGAAATGAATGTGTAAGTAGAGGAAGTTGGTAAATATAGTCTTTATAAGAGCACCTTATGTTGTTTGTGCATTGGAATTTAAGTCTATGTTTATATTGATTATTGTTTTACCTATTTCTGTAACTTTAAGGGTTAATTTATTTAGAGTCAGAGTTTCTTGTTTGTTCTCTATTATTTGGAAGCAGCATGGGGAACTACTGATATCAAAATGATTATTTAGGAAGAAGTCATTAGATTGTTCTGAGTGAACCACCAAGTCAAGAAAGGACTAGACAGAAAACTGTATTAGAAAATGTTAAAACAAGTATTGGCATCACAAGGAAAAACCTTGAAAGTATTATGTAATTGATCTCACAGTTTTTTCCATGTAAAATCTGTTAAAGGCTCTTAATATATGATGGGTGATTATCATGTGGATTTGTAGATTTATCACCTCTTTATGTACCACTGACCATTTTGTAAAATGTCCTCTCTTGGATCTAATTTAAATTTTTTACATACTTAGCTTCATTTTCTTTTTGCTGTCTTTAAATAAATGTATTATGTACCCACTCATTCCCTACTGGTTTAGATGATGTACATACATTGGCTGCTATTTGTTTGAGGCTGGATTTGATGTGCTGGCCTGAAACATCAGACAGTATGTCACTTAATATAAGTGCAATATCAGAATTCTCATTGTCTTTATTACCATCACATAATCAATTACAATACGTTTATGAAATACCCACTGTGTGCTCTGTTACCGATGCTGCATGATAGCAATAAACATATACATACCACACACAGACACACACATACACAGAGTTCTCCATTCATAGAGCTTAGGTTAAAAATCGATTTTATTTGTACATAATAATGCCCTTACTTATCTGCCCTGATTTTTCTCTTGTTTTAGAAACTTTAGAAAACTATAAGTTGCCTTTCATTGCATGCATACACAGACAGAAACAAACAGAATACACACACACACACACACACACACACACACACACACACATTCTCCCATCTGATAGATCATCTCCTCAGCACTAACACTCTCCCTAGCCGGGTGTATGCATGCTCACCTGTTCCCAACACTTACCTCCTACCACCTCTCTTCCAAGGTCAAAACTGTTGCCAGGCAGCTGGGAAAACCTGGGGTAAAACTACCAAGGCAAGGGAGGATTGGACAATGGAGTCTTCTGAATAAGTCTTTGATTCATGTAGACAAAGCATGGCAGAAGTTGTTTACATCCCTTTTTGATTTTAGTTTTTCCCTCTTGGGCTTTTCAAGCACCTGAGGGGGCGGGGGTGGGGGTGGGTGGGAAACAAGAGCAGAATCAAAAGGAGAAAAATTTTATAACTTCATGGTCAAAGCTCCTTACTTCTCTATTGGCAGTGGGGACTAAATCCTTTTGGTTAGCCCACTCTTGCCCTGGAAGTGGTATGAGAGCTTGTGCAACAATGGTGATGTCAGCTGGCGGCTGAGCCACCAGTGATGTCCAAATAGCCCTTGTTGGTGTGTGTAGGCCGGGAGACACTGCTGCCTGCAAGTTCCCCCACCCACCCGTGGCAGCCTCCAGCTATCCTGGCTTCTCTTCTCTAAGAGTATCTTGTTTCCAGCTTTTCCCGGGTACCATCATTTCCACCCATTCTGAGCTACTTCTTTCAAAGTACAGACTAGTTTCCCCAGCATGGAATAAGAAAGATCCAGCTCCTCAGAGAAACAATTGCTTGTAAGTGTTGTTATTTAGTCTATTGAATATCTTCTCCTACACAGTAAAATACGTTTTTCAAATAAGAAGTTTGACCCTTACATGATTATTCCATTATATTGCAGGTCGATTTGCTCTATAAATCATATTTGATTTATTTAGTTCTCTGCTTCAGTGTCCTATCACCTCCCAGAGTTTGCTTACATTTCTGGTCTATTTTATCTTCTATTTTTGTGTTCTCCATTGGCAGATACCCTGTTGATTGGCAAGTAGTGTTGCCTGAATATTAGCTTGTATTGTATGTTCTTGGCTCTCAAATCAAAGCCTATAACAATTGCTAACAGGATGAAGATCTTATTGGCCATCTATTCTGTGAAGTATTGGTAATTTTACTTGAAATTCTGTTAGTTTCTCTTTCCAACTTATAAACAAAGTGTCAATTGAAATTTGAATTTAAGGTTTCTTGACCTGTTTTTGAATCTCGCCAGTCATGTTTATGCTTGAAAATTGTTTATCAGGCCACCTATGGGTGTACAGCTCATTTTGTCTGTGTGTAAGTGTATCACAGTGGTATTTATAATAACATTGCTGGATTTTATTATTCTCAAGATGATTTTTTTCTAATAGCTAAAAAGTGCAGAATCTCTCTGTGCCACCAAGTTAACAACTCCTTTGTCCAACAAGATTATGCAGGTTATATTTAGAAACAGATTTCTATAACACCTGAAAGATCTTCCATCCTTCTTGAAGAAGCCTGTGTTGACAGTAAATGGTGCGTCTCAGGATGGCTTAGCTGGTTAGGCTGGAGGGAGGAAGGAGGTGGTATTGGAGCAGGTGGTGGTGGAGTGGTGGGTTCTATTTTAAATGTTCACCTCTGCGTGTAACTGCATTGCTGGATGGTGACATTTCTCTCAGGGATGATGAAAGGAAAGTAATTAAGTTTAGTAGAAACTTCATATGTTCTGCAGCTACCCTCAATTTACCAGTGCAGGGTAAGCAATTAAAGGTAATGAAAGAGTTGATTTCTAAGCAAAGGCTGTGCTTCCTGCCTTTCTCAGACAGTGTTTGTGGGAAGACACTCTTGTTTTGTACATATATTTCCTAACACTTGTGCTCCTCCAACACACATTCCCATTAAGCTAATATACAACAAACTCCCAGGAAACATCTGTCATCTTTTTTATGTAAATATAAATTGTTTTGTGCATCCATCTATTTAGCCACAAATAGAAGTATTTTACTGCAGTGAGGTTTAAGAAAAGCTCTGAGCAAAGGAGGTGTCCAAAGTCAGTGAATTCTAGAAAAAAATGTGAAATAGAATTTTTTAAAACAAAGTACTGGTTTGTCACAGTAAATATAAGTTATGATAAGCTATGGTGAATATTTACATTTTAAAATTTCTTAAGGGGAACATTGCACTATTACTTCTCCTTAAAATACCTCTCTTTGCTTCAAACACCCATTCCATCATTCTTGACACCTTTTAAGAGGTTCTCTGTCTGACTTTAGAAGGTGTAATCAAAATGTAGTAATGCTGCCAAGTGAAATCAGTTGTGGAAAGGCAGGCTTATGAAAGCATCATAGTGACTTCATCCACCTTATTCACTTGATCTGGTGCTGTGTGACTTCTGGCTCTTCTGCAAAGTCAAAATGATCATGCAAAGCAAATGCTCTGAATTGATTCAGGGTACAGGGACAGTTATGACAGCAATTAAACAGTGCCATTGCTAGAGCTTGTGAAGCTTGAGTGCTCCTTCAATTTGCCTCCTGCCAACATCTCTGAATGGAGTAAATTATTACAATATGATTTTCCTTTTGGCCAATAATGGTGCTCCCAAAATGTGCTACCTGGAGTGGACCATCCCCTCTACTTCCCTCCCCCAACTATTTCACTGCAACTGAAGATGCTCATGAAATAGGACTTCTAGAACTGCTTCAGAAAATGTCAGGCGCAATGGGATGGCTATGTTCCAAGTGAGGGAGGGAGAACATTTTGAGATGGACTAATGATCATATGTCATTTATTGTAATATATTTTTCAAAATTTAAACATCCCATGAATGTTTTGATCACACCTCATAAACAAATGGTGGAGAGGAAAGGGCATGAGATATAGGTAAGGGGCAGGAGGAGTCTTTTCTTTATTGTCAATACATTTTCACTTTGTTATCTCTTCCTATTCTGGGAAAAGGCTTAGATATGTCTTTGGCTTCAGGCCCCCTCAGTTCAAAAAAATTTTTTTTGCCTTTGTTTTATAAATTTTGCCTACTTAGCTTTTAGAATCTTTTTGGGGGAGGGGTAACATTAAAATTATGAAATCAAGTGCAAACTAAAAGTTGTTATTATGGTGTTTGAAAAATGAACCTTGAAAATTATTGTATTTTACTTGATCAATTTTTTAAAAAAATGTACTTTTAAATATTTCTTTTAGTTAAGTGCTATAGTTACTAGTCTCTGTTTCTGTCTCTCTGTGTCTCTCTTTCTGTCTGTCTCTCTCAACGCACACACCCACACACACATATTATATATATATATATATATATTATATATATATATATATATACTTTTTATAAATTTTAAAGCAGGGTCTCACTAAGTTTTCCAAGCTGGCCTTTACCCTGTAATTCTCCTCAACCCAGAATCCCAGGTAGTGGGAATGACACAGTATTTCTGCTATTACAACATTGTTGGCAGTTGCCATTTTTTCCATATTTGGGCAAATGGAGGTATGTTTTGCTAGAGCAGAAAGATGCAGTTATTAGACAAAGAGGGTGGATGTTTAAATTTTGAGTAGCATTAAATTGCCTGCTCAAAATTGGCTGTCTCAATTTTCATGTTTTACTCAACAATGGAACAGAACATTCATCTATCATTTTCCCCTCAGTGCTAAATATTAACAGTGTTTTTCATTTTTACCAATTCAGTGGTGAAAAATATTTTCCTGTGTCTAGATAGATACTTTTTAAAAATACTACTGAGGCTGAAAACTTTCTCATATGTCTATTAGCTATTGCATTTTTCTGTGATTTCCTGTTTTGTTTTTACTTTGCCTGTTATTCTCTTGAGCCTTGATAAACGTTTTTGAGCTCTCTGGTATTGTCTGGCCCCAGGAACTTTCCAGGCTTAAGTGTCCTTTAGAAAACTTGGGCTTGTGGTGCTGAAGGGAACTTTTCTTGTAGGAGACTATGCCCATCTTTCTTCTTGCTGAAATTATTTTGTTTATTTTAATAAATCAAATGCATTATATTTTCCTTGTTAAATAATAATGAATACAATAAAGTCATGATTGGGTAAGGATTTCTACAATTGACAACAGTAGATTTGGTAATATGCAACAGTTATGCCCTGGTGAAAAAGTTCATGAGACATTACAAGACTAGACGAAATGAAAAGTGTAAGTGAATTGATAAATGTGTAGCATTACTTTGTTTTATTTGTGTTGTTTATTTAGATCACTAGTGAATGCTCCTTTTTCTAAAAGAAAAAAAAGTTAAACGAATACACAGTGGAATAATTTTAAAAACTCAGGGAGCTAATAATAAGTGGAAAATGAAACGCATAACAAAGCTAGTTACTGTCTCAAAACATTATACTTATAAGATTTTATGATCAGGAATATACGAGAAAGGCATATTTTGTTTGTCTTTTAAAAATTTGTGTTCTAAAATTTGTTTCTAATCAAAATCTTGGAAAGGAACTACAGTGGGCTAAAGTTGTAAACCATGTTTGAGTTCCTTAAAGTTAGTCTAGTTCTATTTTGTGATTAATATTTAATTGGAATTCATTATCCAATAGAAATAATAAATCAACAATAGTGAATATTATCAATTTTTCATAAAACATACACAAAAATTTTTAAAGAATTAAAAAATTCCCCATTTTAAGAACACCTGTCAAATTTTAGTCAGATATTATGCTGATTGATGAAAACATCTTTCTAGTTTAAAAATGTACAACTTTGGGTTTTTTTGTGAAATAAATTGACATTATTGAGAGTTTTAGAGCCCAGACTTATGGTCAAGTGAGTAAACTCAATAATAAAATGGTAATGATGGTTCTAAAAATTTCAAATGCATGAGTACACAAGAATATATATTTGTTCATACATTTAAACTACATGATCGAGCTGCCTACTGTTACCAAGTCATTTATTTCGCAAAGCATATCTTGACTAAAAACAGTATTATAAAACGAGAGGCCTTACATTTCAATGCCACAAGTTTATTCTGTTTCTGAAATGTTCTGACTAACAGTGACATTAGAAATTAGTTTCAGAAAGTCTATCACAAGACTCCTATTGGGTCTAGGGTAAGGAGGGCAAACACACATCAATTACTGTGGTTAAACATTTACTTTCTATTTGAATAGGTGGTTAAATAAACTTGGATTAGCTGTAATCCATCATGAATCCGCTACAAGGGATGAAGGTATGTTCTATTTTAAATTTCTGAAAAATTAGCAAGAATATTAGAACAGAACGAAATAGAATTGGAAAAACCATGTGAAGTTCCATTTATAGTCTGGTCCTGATGAAAATAGTTTGGTATTTGAACTAATCTGAAATGTAGAGACAGGCATGTTCACACGGACTTACTAACATTGAGTAGAGCTTCCCATACTGGCTGTGAATGATTTCACACTTCATCCACACTTCACTACCTTGGCTTCACTGCTATTTCAAACAATTGCCAATGCAAGTGTTTCATTGCCCTAGTTACTGAGTTTTCACTCCTAGACATGACTTTGTCATGATCTAGTTAAATAACTTTCATCCCACTATTTCCTCTCTCACAGCTTAACATTTCCACCAGGTGTGTGCAGAGACTAATTACCGTAAGATTATACTAGCAATGTGAAGGGCTGATGGGGACACGGGTCATATTTTTAGCTCAGTCTGTAGCTTTCAGGGTTCAAGAGCTGCAGGAGTTTAATTTTTCTTAATGACATATTTAATCCTTTGTGTGGAGAAGAGGAAAGACTTTGGGTTCCTGTGCTGCCACGCTGGTACTATTTCTAAAACAGCCTAGGGAACACTCAAAAATTTGATAATAAAATGATAAAACTTAAATTTTGAAATAGAAAATGACAATTTGATTTAAACGAATAAAGGAGTTCAGTATCATACTGGGAAGGCAGGATCCTAATAGTCTTCTTATTTTATGTAATAAGTACTCAGTGGATATACACTTGGAAGGGAAGAACTATGCAAAAGAACTTCTTGTTCTTGTACTTAAGGCATTCCTGGATATAACCCCTATAAGCTTTCAGCTTTGTTTTTGGCCATCTCCATTAAGGATCTCCTTACATGTGCCTCAGCTCAGCATCAGTATGCACTGATGGTTTAGCTATCTGGCTGGTTTCAGCTTACTCAGCTCATTATGATTCTTATCATTAAATGCAATTACTACTGATTTTATGCTCTCTTTAGTATATGGCTCAAACCTCCCTTGAAGAATTTTTTGATTTTTCCTGAGCTATGGTTGGGATTGGTTTTTCTACTGCATATCAGATGTTCTTTGAAGACAAAAAACCAGAAGGGGCATTAGTTTTTCCCCTTCTCAACTCCTTTGCACCAGGAAGCTCATTCAATTCCTTCTTTCTCAATTAGACTGAAATTGCAATAGCCAGATGGGGAAAAACCTCAGCTCTCCCATTATGGAATAGGTAGGGGATGATAATGTTCAACCATTAAGCATTTCCATTTTTTGTTACAGAATGTTATAGTGAAAGTGAGCAGGAAGATCCTGAAATAGCTGTGGAGACACCATCCCCTTCTTATTCTTCAGCAACTTCTTCTCCTGTGGTATGTACAGACATGAATCGTCTGTGGTCACTGATCACACCTTGGATATCACTCCTTCCAATAGAAACTTTTAGAACAGGCTAATGTAAGGTACTTGCTCAACAGTGAATATAATTCTCAAGATGCTGATTTTGAACCTCACTTTAGCAACACACTGGCATGACAAGCTGACATATTTGCTCATGACTCACAGATACATTATATTTGGAGGGATTGATGGAAATACAAAGGGCCAGTGTTTGCAAGGCTTGTTTTGTAATGTTCATTTATACTCTACCTAACCTCCAAAAGTGTCTTGGCGAGGTCCCTGCAGTATAATAATGTAAAATGAATTTAAATGGAATACAAAAATAGTATGAAAAGGAAAGTGGAGTGAGAAAGATGGGAAGTCAGGAATAAAGATAGTACATTAAAATTGCTTGTGGAACAACTACAGTGTGTGTATTCACTGCAGAGAATTGAAATTAGTTCCTAGACCTTGGAAGTATCCAGTATAAGTTCAAGTAATTAATGGACATTAAGATTTTGGAAAGCTGTTTCTCATGTGCGTGGATAGCCCTTGGAATCATTGGAAGAATCATTGGAAGAAGTAGGTTTATGGTGTTATTTTTTGACTTATAGTGGGAAATTGAACCCAGGGCCTTATGTGTGCTAGGTACATATTATACTGCTGAGTTACTCCCTCAATCAGACTTGTGGTTTCTGTTTCTGCTGGGTAAGAGGGCTTATATGGATGCTTTAATGTATGGTAACTTATTTTTCAAACAATCTTGAGAAGTAGCATTATTTAATTTGCATTTTACTGATTACCAGTGAGCCCAAACATCTTTCCATGTTCATCAGACAGTTGGATGTTCTCTTGTGAAGTGTCTGCTAAGCTTTTGTACATTTTAGCTGTTGCCTCTCCTTTTTTTCTCTTCTTTTTTATTTTCAATTTATAGAATTACTTACATATTTATAAAAATGTGTAAACTGACAAAATCTGTTAGTTAAAAGTAAACAAATCTCACTTTTTAGTTGTTAAAACTCAATTTCTCTTTAAAAATAGATGTTCTAGATGTTAATGTGTTAGATTTTATCCTTTCCATTGTGGTTAGTATTTTTTTCTGCTTAAAGAATTGTTTCTTACCTATGGTCATGAGAAACTAGATGTTTTATGATTAGAAGTAATCATAACAGACATTAGAAGTAATGTCTGTTGTGAGAATTCCAGTCTAAGATATATGCTGAATCCACTGTACCATGATACTTGTCCATCCATAGGCCCAAATCTCAGGGATTGCTTGTTTGAAAATAAATAAAGGATGTTTATGACACCACTAAGTTACAACACTAAATTTAAAACATTAGAATTTTATTTCATCAATTAAATATTATGTTTAAAGTAGTTCTAAATTGATCATTTTTGACAGGCCACCGAGACTGACATTTTCTAAGGAAATATATTGGAAAATAGTCAGCTAAATGTTGAATAATCAGATTTTTTTTCCCCCTTAGAAACAGAATGTGTTCTTTTTGCTCATGTGTTTTCCAGGTGGATTATGTTTTTGTTTTCTCCGGTTTCTGAAACAGAGACATTCAACACATTTGGTTAAAATAAAATTAGAGTTATTATTTAAAAAGATGAAAAAAATTTTTAAAATGCTGGTAACCTTTATCCAATATATATTGTGTGGCTTAGTATAATGTAGGATAGCTATACATTAAATATACAAACCTAGGGCAAAAAGTAGTGTCTTTCTAATCTCTTACTTAAAAATTTTTGGCTAATGAACTTTAATCTGTGATGATGACTCAGCATTATAAAATAATTATGACAATTATAATTATATAAAATAATTATAATTATATAAAATAATTATGACAATTATAGTTATATAAATAATATTATCAAAAATACTTTGTTTTGACTAATGTGGTAAGACTGCCAGTGGTTGACCAGCTCAGAAGGGAGGGGTCAGCCTGCCCCACCCCTGCTTGTACTCCAGCAGACTGGGAAGGGCAACAATCCCAAGCCAGCATGCCCCAGAGTAATCATAGCCAATACAGGAAGTGCTGGGGGCCCCAGTACTCACTTGTCTGGAAGAAACCAGAAACATGACAAGAGGAAGAAACAAAAAGAAGTCTCTAGCCTCTAACCCAAACAGTACTGGCCCAGGAGAGGTAAACACAGAAGAGATCAGGGGTTGCACATCTACAGTTTCAGAAGAATCATCATCTGACATAAAGAAATATCTTCATGAAATTATAAAAGAACTTAAAACAGAAATACTAATACACATAAAAGAAGATGTAAGAAAAATAATAAAAGAAATGCTAAGCACCTCTCAAAAAGACACAGATGGAAGAATGGAGGAGCATCAGAAAAGGGGGATAACCTTTGATGAAGAATATAAGAAAATCTAGAATACATGAAACAGATTCAAAGAGATTAACAGGAAATTAAAACTACATTGGAAGTTGGCAAAACTGCTTGAAAGAAACTAAAGATAGACTATCAAACCTTGAAGACAGGTTTGCAACTTGTGATTGCAAAAGGGAAGATCTCCTAGAAATAGCAAGGAACCAGTAAGTAACAAAATAAAGGCTAGAAGATGACAAGAGGATCTGTAACTTAAGAATAAAAATTGTGAGTGAAGAAGCAGGGATAAACACAAATGAAATACGGAGGCTATTTACATAATTAAATAATTAAAGAAATAATTAAAGAAAACTTCTCAAGCATAGGAAAAGGAAATGATATTTGGATATATGAGGCATATAGAACTCCAGCCAGCTATCACCAAAATAGATCTATACCCAGACATATAATAATCAAGATCCCAGAAATTCAACACAAGAATAGAATATTAAAAGCTATCAAAGAAAAGAAACAGAGAACCAGTAAAAGAAAAACCATCAGAATTGTGACAGACTTCTTGACACAAACCATCAAATCAAGAAGAGCTTGGAGTGAAATATTCTAAGCCCTGAAAGAAAATAACCTCCAACCCAGATTGATGTACCCTGCAAAACTATCTCTCAAAATTAATGGAGAAACAAGATGCTTCCATGACAAAGAGGAACTGGGGGAGTTTATGACCACCAATCCAATCCTACAAAAACTACTGAAGGACATTCTAGAGAGACAGAGAGAGAGAGAGAAAAAAGACCACAGTTTCAAGAACAGCAACAGAGCAGGCTCACTAAATGGGGCAGACAGTGGAATGAAGGGGAAAAGTAGACAACCAATGGCAGAAAAATAGCATGGCAGAGAAGAGGCAGAGAAAGTTGGCCATAAACTCTAATGTGGATGGCCTTGATACACTAATAAAAAGAAACACAGACAGAGTGGATCGGGAGATACAGTCCATCAAGATGTTCTATATAAGAACTATATTTAATCTGAAAGAGGGTTTATGTACTAAAAGTCAAAATTGAGAAGATAATGCTCTAAGTGACAGGGAACCAGAAAAAAGTGGGATTAGATCACCCTTCAACTGCAGATTGGTTGGAAAGACATAACACTTTTATACAATGGAGAACTACTCAGCAATAAGGAAGGAAAACCTTGAGGCTCTTGTAGGTAAATGGATACAACTTGATATCAAACTCAGGGCTAAAAAGGTTCAGAACCACTTAGGTAAATGGTGGGTTCTCTCCCTAATCTAAAAACTAAAGGAGTTAGTGGGATACAAAATGTACGATGCATCTTGTGAAAGTGAAAGGGGAGGAATTGTCTAAAAAGGGAAGGCAGAGGGCATTGTTAATCTTGTATCATGATTTGAAACCCATATTGTTTTCATCACTCTGTTTAGTTTGGTTATATTCTGTTCCAGTGTGTCTACTTGTACTAGAGTTGATGGCATGGACAGCCATCCCAAAGATAGCAGGATATACTATGGCAACCATTTTTAATTTATTAACTTAATCTGAAGCCCTGCATTGCTTTCACTGTCTCGTCAAAACATGATTTTATTTGAATCTGTTTTGTTTGATCTCTGTCTTGTCTTGACTGATTTTATTTGAATCTGTTATGTTTGAGAGTGTCAAGACTGAAAATATAGGCAACTACTCTGAAGACAATAAGATTCACTATGATTCCCATTATGGTTTGACTGTTACCCTCTTTTGAAGTCCTATAATGTCTCCAATGTTTTGTTTTTATTAATTCTGTTTTGTACTGCTATGTTCAATTTTATTGTGCCTCATAATATAGGCATTTTACTGAAAATAACAAGAGACATCATAGTAACCATTAGATCAGCTTGCATTTTGGGTTTAGGTCATGTGCTATGTCCATCTTTTTGTTTTGACTGACCCCATTTTGTTTTATCTCATTTGGTTAAATTCTCTTCTAAATAAAAATTTAAAAAATTTTTTGTTTTGAAAAAAATTAACTAATTTGCCATCCATTCTAATTACTATAAAGGTAAACAGAAAAACTTCAGCCTCACACCTGTTTGGACTTCTGATTCTAATGGGCTGAATCATATTTCACCAAGGAAGAAAGAACATTTTAGTATCTACCCTGAGTAAAGGAGAGGTTCTGTTTTATGTTCCTTCATCCTGAGAAAGCTTTACATGCTTGATAGTGGAAAAGACATCCATTAATTCTTAAAGGAATTAGAAATGGGGAATTTTGAGAGACTTATTAAAATGACTCAGAATAGATGGGGTTCTATAAGTTTCATTTGGGAAGGTAATTTGTAGAAATTCAGGATTCCTTGAAATTCAGAAAAGACACACAGAAAAGCCAACTACATTCACATTTCAAACTCAATTATTTTCTAAGTTTCAAGGTGATTTAGGAGCTGTAAATGTCATAAAAATCTCCTCTATATCCTAAGTAACTAAGTTTAATTTTTACAAAAGTACTATTTGATGACCTGATCCAATGTTATTTGGTTATTCAGTTGCTTAACAAGTACTGCAGTCCCTTCTTTTGATTACTTGGGCCTCACCAGTAAGTAAAGCAGAGAACGGTTCATTCACATTATCCACGGAGCAAACTTCTGGTT